ATCTGATCCAGTTTTTTGCATCGTTCGAGAATTTTTCGCGATACACAGGATACTGCTAAGTAGGATGTAATTTCAGGAAAGGAGATATTAAGCACGTATCAGCGTTAAAGGACTGTATTCGCAAGCGGATACTCGGCGCGTTACGATCCGCTATTTTGTTTGTACGCTCCGCGCGGCAAAAAACTGTATATTTCGTAATTCTCCACCACGGGCAGTTCCATAAACCAAGAAGCTTAAAATTCTCGTAAAATCGTTGGAGCGTACAGTGAACAAAGGAACATAAACGTTTAATAAGACCATAGTCATTCTAAACGCGACGCGTGAATAATTTCTTCATCGTTTTTGTCCCCGCGTGTACGTCAGCGTCGCAAGAAGTAACGCAACGGTTACCCAGAAACGATCTCACACAGAAACGTTCCGTTTGTATGCATGATTTTCGAGTTTTTCAACCGCGTTTCTAGTCGCCGGCAGGTTGCATTTTCCTTGGTACGTCTCGGGTATCCGTGGTCGGGCTGCGAGCGGTGTGTAAGCGCGTGGCATTAAAGGTTCACAGGCAATTCCCTTTGGTTTATGGTGTATTTAGTACTACGGCTATGGCCGTTTCATAGGCCATACGTTGCCGTGACCGCTCGTCCGGGGAGGCCGTAAACCAAGGAACACGATCAGCGACCGTTTTTTTCACGCAACTCGTACATTGTACGCTAACCGTGGCGAGTAATCGCTTTCTACAGCGGCCGGAGAAATTTTTCGCGTCTTTTTCCGCTCCTTTTTTTTCCAACGAGGCGTCGTTATTCTTCACCGTCTCGCTCGGTTATCAACCGTGTCGAAGGGACGAAGATTTGTTGCCTATTTTCATCGACGTTAACGACCGCTTCGTTCTTCGCCGGCTCAACTCGCGAAGACCGATTGTTTTTTGACGAAGGTTTTCATGCGTCGACGATAATTCCGCCGCGCATCCAATCAACATTATTGGCAGCGTACGTCTTCGAAAGCGCGATCAGCCATTGCAATTCTTTCGATTTGATCGATTGGTTGCACGTCAGAGGATCCGGAGACTCGAGCTTTGCATGCTTCAGCCACGATGGACGAAATTTCTGTAAGGACACTGCTACTTTTAACGATAACGACGACAATTTTAATAATACTATTGAAGATAATGCTAGGAAATAATGGAAAGCAACAAACTGGTGTATAGAGTTGAACGAAACTATTTTATTCCATAGTTATGAAGAAAATATTGGAATTTGACAAAAGAAGAATTTCCCGAATACAAAATGTCGCCCGAAGTGGCTGAAAAAGAGACGCTAGCTGCATGTTTCAAGCATGGATGACGAAATTTCTGTAAGGACACTGCTACTTTTAACGATAATGGCGAGAATTTTAATAATATTAGGGTCAGTTGCCCTAATATGAAATACGTTCCTAATTTGGAACACCGCAATATTAAAGAATTGTGATTCTGCCATCTATTGGCGATAAATGTAATCGATTACGATTTTCATTTGTTGTAACTAGCGTGTATATGTTCGAATTTCAAAGCAACACGTGTTCGTAAAAGAATATTGAAGAAAATATCGGAGTCTGAGTTTTTGCAAGGTGATATTTGACCTAATATTATACATAATAAGGTAAGTGCATCAGCTTTGTGTTAGCTCAATTGTTTCTTCCAATGTAAATGTATAAATATAGTATTCCATCTTACGAGCACTATGAGCCTAATATGGAAAATGAGAACCTCAGTAAAAAAAGGAAACAATTCCTAAACCGTTACTATATTTTAAATTTGACTGTTATCAGTCAAAAGAGCATAAAATATCCTATAATATTTAAGTACATTTTATTACTTATGTATTATTATATATGTTATTATTATATTTCATAATATTTAAGTTTTTATAAATGTTCTGAAAGCAAGTGGAACATCTGTATAAAAAGAAATATTCCATATTAGGGCAACTGACTCTATTAATGCTAAGAAATAATATAAAGCAAAATACCAACGTACACAGTTGAATGAAATTATTATAAAGAAAATATTTGAATTTAACGAAAGAAGGATTCAAAAATAGCTGAAAAAGGGACGCGAGTTGTTTGCTCCCAATGGTGTCGGTGTTTCGCCCAACATGGAGGATGACGCAACGATCGTAAAACGAAAAATCGAAACTGCTGTTCTCACACACGTGCACACACACACAGGGGCTTGCCTGTACACGTGTAGGTACGCGTGTTCGGAGGAGATGAATTCGTGTATCCGTCGATGCTCGCGTGTCCGAGCGCCGTTACTCGCCCGAGCGTTGTCGCAAGCTAGTCCCAGAACGACGTCGGCTTCCTATCCCGGTTTTCCCCGTGGAAAAGTTCCGTTTACACGGTGCCCGACGAACAAATCATCGCCCGCTGCGATTTGCCATAATTAGCATACGACCTCGCCCACGCGTCGAGTCGCGGGTATATTTTTTCACCGTTCGGCGTGTCCCACGCGGATGCGTCTCGGTCGGAGCCATATTTCTTCGCGCGCCGGGGACTTAAAGTGCTCGTCTTTATGTCCGCGACGCGAACGACTTAAGGAAAGATGGCGATGGGTAAATGAAAATTGATGCACGTCGATAATAAATTGTTAATGTTATATTACGGGACGCGGAATTAAAAGCGCGGTATCTTTGAATTTATTGAAGACTCGATCGTTCCTCTGCCTCGCTAACTGAACGGAACTATACCCGGTTGGAGTCGACGTACGATTCTTTCATATTTATCTCCTAGCAGAGGCGATGAATGTTCGTAGCGGTGAGCTTACAAATTTTATACTGTCCAAATATTTCACTGAATGCTTTTTGTTATTCGTTTCTAAATTAAATTGAAAAACGAACGACGAAATTAAAATAAACAAAGGCAGAAAATTTTTATAAGTATTCAAGAAAGTAAAAACATATTTATAATTTATTTTATATTCTTCATCTGTTTTTATATGTAACAAATTGAAAAAAAAATTATCCATTTGACCTGGAATCGAACAGAGGCCACCAGCTTAGAAACTCTGATCACTCTGGTCACATGTGTCGGCCATCTTGAACAGATGTATCGTCGCATGTGGCGGTCATCTTGAACAGTATTTACGGATTCTTGAATCCTTAATTGCAAATATCTGATAAACAATTGAGTAGTTTTCCATGTAACATCACCCACGTGCAGTCTCCTTGTTAGTCGTATCTTTATTACTTGAAAACATCCGTACAAGAATATTAACGTTCTAAAATGGAAGAATTTTCGAACGTATGCGTGCGTTTACCGGTAACCAATAACAACTTCCTGTCGTAATCGCTGTTTTGGCTGCAACCACCTGTACACAAGATGTACCACGCCACAACGCAAGCATCGAGCGATGACAATATGATTTTTTTGCAAGGATTCGAATGGGAATCCGATGGAAAGAAACGCCAGGGTTAGGCCAGGCTGGCAACCTCGCGTGTAAACAGTGCAAGACGAGCGCGAGAGGAACGTTTAATTGCAGCTGCGTGGACGAATTTTACGAGGCATTGCGGTGAAATCTATTTCCATGGTTGTTAATTGATTACTCGCGTGATACGCGAAATGCGTACGACACGCGGAAATGAATTATTGATGCAACACGTGACCGCGACACGCGATCAGCCACCCGTGTAGGGAGAAGAAAGCTCGCGGAAGGATTAGTATGGAGAACGCGATCCTCGATCCTCGGACCTGCGATCGTCTTTCGCAATGGAACACGTTGCGAACTATGTCTCATTGTAACGCGAATCGGGATGTGTTACTCGTAAAATTAACTTCACCCTTTTGCGAATCAAACTCGCTGTTTCGCGGATTAAATTCGCCCTTTTGCGAGTCAAGTGTCTCTACAGAGTTTTCTCAAGTCATTGTGAGAACGATTACAAGGATCTGGGATCATTAGGAATTGCTTCTTAGAATTGTTTGAGAATTATTATATGAAATTTTATTCACTTGGTAATTTAGAAGTAACGAAGAATATTTCATGGTTTTATCTCGGTTTAGATTAATGTTGGTACATAAATAAATTTCCCTTTGTCAAAATTCTCAGAATGTGTACGTGTAATAGTTGAAGAATTATGGCTAATATCAACTACTTTCTGTAACGAAGACAGAATCAGCTTGACGCTAAAATGGCGAAGTGCACTTTGATCAGAATTTTATTATTTCATATTCCAGTGCAAGGTTTCTGATATAATTTTTTCCCATCACTCTGTTTGTAAATTCTCTATGTAATTTTAATTTTACAAGTTGTATTAATATTATTACTGTTATTTATACAAAATTAAAGCTTGAGGAGGAATAGTTTGCGTGGATCGAGATTCTTCGAATTTCGTTTCTTCTGATTAGAATAGGTATTAGAGACACGTGGTTTAGAGCCTTGTTCGTAGCTTTCAGCGACAACTGAACCTTTCCCCGGCTCGGAACGTTAGAATGCGTTTCGGAAATCGTTCCACGAGCCGCCTTCCAGGCAGGCATATCCTGGAGTTGAGAACATTACGTTCTCATAAATCAGCCTCGATTCGATTCGGCATAAATCATAATCGTGTCGTCGGGCGTATGCAGACATCTTTGCCCTATAGCAAAGAGCTCCGTGAGAAAGATCCTCCACGACGCTGAATCGCTCTCTCTTCTCATGATATGCCGTTAACTGCTTTTCATCCTAAGCCGACGCGTTTCTTTCGATCGATTCCCGTTTCCGTCTTCGATGTCTCGCAACTAACGTCGCTCGTGGAACTTTACTCTGTACACATCAGTGTTTAAAATTACCCTCCATTAGATACGCGGAGCTTCGCGAAACGATTTCTCAAAGTATCGTAGAAAATTATTGTCTCCTTTGAAATAGAAACATCTCTCGACTCTTTCGGAATCATCGAATCGCGAGTCACTCGCGAGACGTTCGAATTATCTTCGAGGATTTATTGTCACGATATTGTACTGTAGGGTTATAGTAGAGTTTTTGTGGGACAAATTTTTAGTCGTTATTTCTTCCCTTTTTTCCTGCGTCTGCCCCTCCTTCTGCCTCGCGCCATTTGTGGATCCACTAAGGGCGGCAGCGGTTCTCGAGGCGGAGGACTTCCGGCCGCGAGGTGTCCAGCAGCCGGAGCAATTCCAACTATATCCATGACCAAAGGTCCCGGAGAATCAGGATCCAGATTCTGAGTGAGTTTCGCGATTTTTCCTATATTGTCTCCGAAAGCTCCATATAATAATTCGTCTGATATTTTCGACGATTCTTTCAGGTTGCATCTGTACTCGTGTCCCTCTGGGTCGGTTTTGAAGAGGAGACAGTTGGGCACCAGGGCATAGTATCTCGTCATACACCTAAACAGTATGATAATCGATTATATTATCACGAAAATTCCTGTATTTAATACATTGTAGGTTTGGAATTTATAATAATATTAATACAAGTTAAATAGGCAGGGGAAACATCAGGGTTAAATAAATAAATTACAGGTAGAGAGAAAGTACCTTCCTATATTTGTAACGGTAATGTCCACGCCTAATTGCCCTGCAAAACTATTACCAGAATCGACTAGATCGAAAGGTCCTCTGAATTTGAAGGATTTTGGTCTTTCAATCTTCTGCGTACCCTGTGCAAAATAACACGATTAACTTGTGCATAATTGTTTCTAGAAACCCGACACACACGAGGAAATTATTACCTATTGAAGAAACTACTGACAGAGTATCAGAAATATTCGAAAACGGATCATTCAGAATTTTCAAACTTCGAAACAATATTCCCAGTATACTAGATTTTCCCAAAATTTACGTTTAAAAACAAACAAGTTTAAATATAAAACATAATTTATCCGTTACTTCTTGAATGAGAATTTTAATTACAGAAGGAAATATTTTATACAGATAAAAATTTGTTCCATAGAATAAATTGTTATCTTGTTGGTTATTTATTATTCGAGTCACATTTTGCTTTGAGAGGCGATTTGAACGTGGAACAATGAATTGATTTATTTGTACGTAACCAACAGAATTAATCAAAGATGAAATCTAATTTAATTTCTCACCAGATCGCAAGCGCAACCGCTGAGGTGAGTACGAATATTGCAAATGGGATAACAGTCGTCCTTTCTAAAAACCCCGATATTTAGGGGGACTTTCTTCATTTTGGTGACCAGTTCATCGCACATCATTGAAAAATGACAGCATTGGCCGCCTTTAAATTCGTAGATGTAAATGTCATCGTCTTTACGAGATCGTTTACGCTCAGCGACTTCCATTGCTGGGAAATTAACAAAGACAACTTTTACTACCAGTGGCGATCCGCCAGTATCAACATACACCTCTTTGTTCAGTGTCAATCGAGTCACATAAACGTCCAGAAGATACAGTCCAAACATTGCAAAGTCCTACTTTTTGTTTTTCTATTCTTTTCTTATTTTCCAGGTTATGGTACACTGGGGAATTTTACAGATTGAAGTTTCAGCAAAGATTCAAACCCACGTAAATCGATCAAAATTAAAATTCCTATACTCTAACTATAATTCATTTGAACCATATCAATTTAAAAAAAAATTGAATTTTGGTTTTAAAAGACTGTGCGACCGGAGTTGGGCAAATGTTATTCTCGAATAACGAATAAAAATGTTACGCTTACTCCGTACAAAATTCGTTAATAGATTCCAATTTATCAAAATTAATTTATCGATGAAGAGTATGCAGAAATTAGTTTACGAATCGATCTAAAATTTCTAGTCGCTATTTTCTGTGATATAAACTAGGGTTACATTGCTCCAGTTCAGAGTTGGACAAATATTCTCAAATAGTAAATAAAAATGTTACGCTCACTCCGTAAAAAATTCGTTAATAGATTCCAATTTATCAAAATTAATTCATCGATGAAGAATATGCAGAAATTAGTTTACGAATCGATCTAAAATTTCTAGTCGCTATTTTCTGTGATATAAACTAGGGTTACATTGCTCCAGTTCAGAGTTGGACAAATATTCTCAAATAGCAAATAAAAATGTTATGCTCACTCCGTAAAAAATTCGTTAATAGATTCCAATTTATCAAAATTAATTTATCGATGAAAAGTATGCAGAAATTAGTTTACGAATCGATCTTTTCTAGTCGCTATTCTCCGTGATGTAAAGTAGGGTTGAATTGCTCGAGTTCGGTGAATTATACCCTAGTCACTTAGGCCAGTTGATCCTTCTTGCCTCGTTTGGCCAGATTAAGTATGCAGGTTTCAGAACGATGAAAGACGAAAGGGTTTAGGTGTCTGGGTTAGGCGTAGGTTAAGGCAGGGTTAGGAACCGCGAAACCGGTTTCAGAAGTATGAGTCCACGGCCCGCGGCTCAAGTGATTTACAGTTAGACACTCGGATTGATAGACTCGTTCGGAATAATTATCCAAACATCGTTACCTGTTTGCATCCCAATTACTTATTCGAACTGTCGATTCGATTGCCAATTTCATTAGGGCAATCGATCTCCACGATAATAAACTTAACTCCAAAGGTTGAGAAGCGAACAAAATTAAACGTAAACCTCCTTAAATTCGAGTAGATTACCCGTCCGACGAGTCACACTGTTCTAATTTGCACAAATTTTAGGTTAAATCAACCACTGACTGTAACTGTCGCGCTGAATCCGAACGTGGAATCGATTTTTGCCGACTTGCTTCTCTATTTGAACTTTTGTTAACGCAAGATTTATGGGCATTGATTGCAAATATTTTTATTGAAATCTGTCGGGGTTCTCTTTTAATTAAAATATAAATTACTAAAAAATAATATTTACGAGTATTGTAACATTAAGTATGGGATTTGAAACGTGTAGTGAAATCTGTCGTTACATTATAACTGGGGTTCTCTTTTAATTCAAATATAAATGACTAAAAAATAATATTCATGATTGTCGTAACATTAAGTACGGGATCTGAAACGTGTCTCTTTGTAAATAAAATTATTTAAAATATTTTCCCCGCTCGATTCGATTCGATAATTCTAATTCCGACCCAGAAGACTTAAGGGGTACTGTAATAACTTGAAATAAAGCGTTTTTTGCGATTTTTTTTTGATAGATGGAAAAGTAAGAGGATAATAATATTCAAGAATGTTATTAGCCATGTTGTTAAATGTTAAAAAAAATATATTTATTCAAAAATAGTGCAAAATGACGACGCTGGAGCCATTTTCGAGAGGCGTGTTGAATTTGAGGCGGTCTGCGGCGCGCAATGTAACTAACGCAAATTTGTATCACCAAAAAACAAAAATTTTTCTCTTATTCTACATGAGTATAGCTAGAGAAATACTTAGGGGATTTTTGAAACATTAATTGTTGTGTGATTAGCTAGCATCTGAAGTAAAATGTTCAATTTTTTACAAAAAATGAGGCAATCATTTGTCAATAAATAATGTTAAAATCAATTTATCGAAGATCTCCTACGTATTATCCTGTTACTTTTCCATCCATTCCAAAAAAAATCGCAAAAAACGCTTTATTTCAGGTTTCTCAGTGACCCCTTAAGGGAACACACAAGAGGGTTTATTTGATTTACTATAGTTCCCAGTGGACGTTGCACGAAATAATAATTTAAAGTGCCGACATACTCGTATCGAAACGGGAGAGAAAATCAGGAAGATTCTCTAGGCGATATCCTGATCGCGGGATATGAGTCAGTAAGCAGATAATGCGAATACTGACGCGAGCACACACCTGATGGAATATGACCCCGTAACAGGGATCCGCCTCGAACGTCTTAATAATAATAATTAGTTCTCACTCCAGTGAACCGTATCGCCGAGAGCATTTTCCAGACAACGCTTAGCAGCTCCCACGAGAGATAATAGTATCGAAAATGCTTGAACGTTGCAGTACCGCCAACGTGGTTATCAATTAGAGGGAGAAGTAGGCGAATTTCAACCACGATTCGTTCACCGTGACGCTCTTTAAAAGTTATTTTTTGCACCCTAGAAAAATTAAGAGTTGCTTAAAATAGGCAAACCAAGGGTTACTGTTACATCAACCGCCTATATTTTCCAGTCGTATATCCATAATCATTATTTTCAAAAAAATTATTAACACTGTTACTGTTATTGAGCGCTGAATGCTGAATTCTTATTAAAAATTTTTGGAAAAATGTAATTTTCGTACTTTAAATGTTATTAATGTTTCCACGTTCTTTTCAATTATAGCAGAATATCTTGAAAATTTCATGTGTAATTTATAGTTCTTGATCATCAAAACGTTCTAGTACTTTCGTATCTCATTACACTATATTATATTAATGATTCCCAGTAGTTACACGAAATACTTTTAAGTATCGATAAATATTATCGAAAGATGCTCTCGAGCACCTACTTACTATCAAGATAATCCAAAAATATTCTTAAGTTCGTACATAATTATGTATACTCGAGCATATTCTTCGATTATCTTTATGGTTCGAAGCTTAGAAATTATGATTTCCGATTAATGCTGATAAGGATTAAAATATTTCTTGCAATCGCTAAAGTTATCTCTGTAATAAAATATACCCCAATGGTATTTAATTTCAATCATCTTAATCTTGTATTTAGTTGATTTCACTTGTATTACAACAGGTATATTAAAAAACAATAGTGAAATATTTTTTAACATAAAGAAAACTGATACAGTCTCTGTTTTATATTACTGGAAAAAACATTTGGAAAAGAGAAATATAAAATTTGGCTTTTAAAATTTAAACCGTATATTCTATGCCATAATGTAACTCGTATCGACATAATTATCCGGTATGCCTCGAGGTTATATAATTTTTAATTATTATCTCATCTCCTGTGAGAGCCAGGGCAAAAACTGACCTATGAGAAAGTTGAAGAAACGAACGGTAAATTAAAATTTATATTCCAAAGAAGAAAAAGTTAATCATGATCTACAATTCATATTCGTAGCAAAAATCGACTGTGGACTTTTCTTCTGTACCGAATGTACACATTGATTTCCAAAAAGAAATTATATGTACGTTTAATTATATTTCTAACGAAACCATTACGTTTTTAATCGCAGATGAATTTTTGTTATTTATGATAATGAAACAGGAGCTCGTTTTAAGACCGATTATTAGTATTTTTTTGTTAAACACACAAGTGTTTAATTATACAGTGATTATTAGAAAATTCTGTAAAATCTGTTCAGGTAACTTCGCAACAATTGTTTTTAAAAATTTCGTGTTAAAACTGATTTACTTTGCCTCTGACCAAAACCAGTTTATTCAGAATTATGGAATTTGTGTTAAATATAGCTAAAGAAGTGAAAACATCGATTCCAGTCTCTGTCTTATAAAAAGGTATAAATACTGTATTTTGATACGTCGATACGAACGTGGCAGGGAATTAATTTTAATTACCAGGTAAATTAGAATACTGAACTTATATAACTAATATCGCAGTTATAAGTTGCAAAGAAAATGATATTGGAACAGAGTTATAATTATTACGAAATGGACGAAAATAGTTTCGTTGGAATAAACTATACAAGCTTATAATTACGTTACCGTTAAAAATGTAACGCTCAGTTTCAACTGCTTGCAACATATTATTTTAACGCCACTGTTACAAAGATAGTGTGTGATATACCGGACGACTTTCAATGTCTTTATTTTAGCAACAAATAATTATTCACCGCGGAGGGGAATTTTCTCGTAACTCTCGCAATTATCCAGGCGAAAATAAATATCCCCTTTCCTGTAATTAATTAGCACCCAGGCGAACAACTTTGCATAAACTCTCGAGCGGTTTGCACGCATATTAAATTATTCCGCATTCCTTTCCATACGCGAACCACCGAAAATCGCGTTAAACTGCTAGCATAACGCGAGAAGTCTGATCGATAATTGTCCGTAAATCAGATGCCAGATAAGATTAAGGAAAACCAGCGGAGTGCAGTTTGATATCGCGGATCGGGAACTCAATTCCGAAACATATTATACTGCATTTGTTGCTGGCAATATTTAATATATAAATTCTCCATCGTTGCACAGTGGGCTGAAAGCGTCGGAAACGTGGCCAAAATTCAAGATTTAGGTTAGTACTTAATAATTTAGAGTTTTTGAGGTTGCTGATATCGAGTCTGAAATCAAAAATTTCAAATTCAATATGGCGATATCAATACGCAGTATACAGGATGTTCGGCCTGCTCTGGGAAAAATTTTAATGAGAGACTCTAGAGGCCTAAATAAGACGAAAATCAACGATATTAATTTGTTGATTGAGGCTTCGTTAAAAAGTTATAGAAACATTTCCTGCCACACAATATATTTTCGGTAAAGAATTTTTTTTCTCGAAAATAAGTAGGATTTCGGGACAATGTGTATTGACTAAAAATAATTGTAACTGACCTCTGCAACCAAAAAT